ACCCTGAGCCGGTGAGATTTGAACCGCTGAACTGCTGATCTAGCAGTAGCCTGCAGTGCTGCATTTAACCACTGCGCCACCTTGGCTCATAATGCAACGATGTCATGTGCATTGTGACATCACAACACAAGCTCTACCTTTTCATATATTTCATATTCATAACTCTGCACACAAATACATTTATGGCAGATATAGGATTTTTGTCTCAGTGATGGATGTTTTTCTGGCCCTCCCAGAATTTGCAAACTCTTTTCATTAGAACCTATCACGGATAGAGAGGACATTATAGTGCTTCCACTAGGCAGCTATGACACTGCATCAGAAATATCTACTTCATAAACTTGTCTTAGATATGTTAACAGAATATGGAAATGATGTTTTATTTACCGAGACTGCTGACGTTTGTCTGAATTCTCTGTTTACTTGGATTCTAATATCTTGCTTTCAAATAATTCAACTGTGCAGAATGCAGGGAAGTTCATTGTTATAACTTAGAGAATGAGAAATTCATTTCAATGGAATTCTGCAGAAAACAGTTAGCAATTTAATAAAACCATATTTTTTTCTCTCCAACAGTTCAGAACATTCCTGACAAGTTACATTCAATTGATTCTCCAAGAGCCTCCATAGCATACATACCAAAATCATCTCACCAATGAAATGCAGCCATTTCTGGGTTGCTCAGTGGAGTCCAGATGTTGGGCAACAAGCTGCATCAGAAACCAGGCAAAAGTTTCAACAGGAATGTAAAGGATCACACACACCCCACCAACATTATACAAAACCGTGTGTGTATTTGTGTTAATGTGCATGCAGCAAAATCCGAATAATAGTTCATTGCATCTGCTTCTTAAATCATCCGATGGACATTCTTCGTACTTTTATCTATATATTTAAACATCCAGAAGCTAGTTATATCTAGTAAATCTTCAATTATCTCTGGCATGTGTGCAGAATTGCCTTCCTCCCCCCCTCCCCAAAACGACCATTCTTCATGGGTGTCAGCATATATACATAGGGAAACAATTTAGGACAATTTTTTTACAGGAAACATTTGTGGAAGACTGACTCATCTCCAAAATTCTATCATATTTTCCCACAATAGACATGAACTTAACTGAATTACCATCTTAAGAAATTATTTGTAGAGTTGAACCAACATAAGAAAATCTGCCATGACAAAGATTTATAGTTCCTAATAGATCTCTACTCACACAGGTGCAAATGCCTATCTTTTCATACATCATAATATTTAATATTTCTTTTTAAATCATATTGTTTTTACAATCTTCAGAAAAGCCAAACTTAAGGAGCTGTTCTTCTGTGACAAATTTAATCGCAAATCTCCAACTTTATTTCCAAAGAAATATGTCAGGATTTTAAGTAATTAAACTGAAGTTTTGTGAATTCCCTTGGAAACTGCAGGCATTTATGCAGGTGCTCACATACGTCTATACTATATTTTATAAATAGAGGGACAGTGTGACTGAAAAAAACAATAATGGGAGACTGGGGAAAGAAAAACATATTGGTGAAGATTAAGCTCTTGCTAAATCTTTTTGAGGTAACAAATACAATTAAAATTCATTACTTTAAAATATTAAAGCTATGATATATATATGTGTGTGTGTATGTGTATATATGTATATATATATGTGTGTGTGTATGTACATGTACGTATACATACATACATATACATATACATATACATATACATATACATATACATATACATATACATATACATATACATATACATATACATATACATANATCCCTTTTTAACAAAGTTATTTAAAGAGATATGGCTAGGTAAATAAAGATATAGCATATCCAGAATGTTATCTAATTTGAGACAAATGGCTCGGATCCATCCTTCTCTATAGTTTAGTTGCAACTCAGTGTTTATATTACTATTTAAGTATGGACCTAGACTTGCACAGAGAAGAATCTCCAGTGGGGAGTCTACAATACATCCTGGCTTTTTGCAACAGCAGAAAGGTCTTTAAAATTAGATTTCCAGACTTTTGTTCTCTTTCCATGTTTATGCTTGTGACTAATGGACTTATAAAATAGGCCAAATTGTTAATCATGTTGTATAGTTGATAAGGTTTTCATTGCACAATCTATACTTATCCATAATTCTTAACTCTGAAAATTAATGAGCTCAGATTATTATACTGTGTACAGATCTCTCCTTTATACTCCTTAAAAATGAGATAAACATAAGAACACAGCAAAGCTTATATTCACTGTCGATTATTTTGACTCATTCATTCAAATCAGTTTTTAAATTGTTTTAATGTATCTATCTAATAAAATATCCTAACTTTGCACTGATTTGAAGGTTTATTGGAGTTTTGTACCTTCATGTTTATGCTTTTTATAGACATAACTATTTTTAAATTAAGTCATCATCCCAACCAAAAAGTAACTTTTAAATTCATCTTGCAAATTCATATTGGATTTTGCCTGATTTGCAAACCCTTAAAAAGCTAGTAGGTCCAGTGTCTGGTATATGATTAAAATCATCCTGCAGTTAGCCCAAAGAACAGAATTTATTCTGTTTTTCCCGATGAGTCTGCTTATTAACAATTCAAGCAGAAAGAAGTTCAGAAATAGCCAATCATGGGGAAACCCAGGATTAATTATCTAATACTTAGGATCTCTTGAACCTTGAAGAAATTCCTGCCAGTATAGCTTGTAGGGAAGCCACTGTGGCATGAAGAAATGTCAAAGTTTTGACTGTTTGCCAAATTATTTAAAGATATCGCTCTCTTTCACATATGGTCTTTTAAAATAGCTAGATGATTGCTAGAGAAGGACGTTTGAATAACCCGTCAATTACTGAAATGACCTGATTGGATGTTTTCCAGGTGATTCTAGCATACAGGTATAAAATACAACAGCGGGGGAAGTGAAATTCAAGGCAACACAGGTCTGCTCTTGTTTTTTTTCCCAAAAAGATGTTTGGTGGTTGGGGAAAGAAAAGGTTGGATTCATTGTAGTGATGCTTATTAACTTCATGTGATCTATTGCTTGGCAAATGCGACTTCTCACATGCTAATATTACCAGCACACAGTGACATACTGCACTGAAATCCTATAGTACATCTGTTTTAGATTAAGATTTTCTGGGCTATTATGACAAACTAAACTTAGTTTTTGAAGTCTCAATCATTCACTGTAAGGTATATCAAAAGGGATATGTACAGACTAGCTTTCAAACACGGGCTATATGCTAAAAGCAAAACCAACCTATCCATGAAAATTTTAGTTCAGACATCGTTGTACAAAATATTATGGCTGAAGGGTAAGGAAGCCCAACACATTTCTTGGACATAATGCTTTATACTCATGCTGTGGTGAAAACTATGCATTGATATAACCATCAATATTAATAATCAATTGATGGGGTGTGTGGGGTGAATTGAATCTATCACATCAGTGTTGTACATTGGTAGTGGTTGATCTTGGTATAAGGTTTCTCATACAATAAAAATGACTAGCATAGAGCAGACATCCCAAACCTTTGAGGCTAGTGGGCATATTTGGAATTTTGAGAATATGTTATTGATACCCACCACAAAATGGTTAACCTGATAAATGTGTTAGAAAAAGAAAAATGACCAGGAGTTAAACTGCTGAGTTTTTTTTTCTTGCCTCACGGGATTTTCCCTTATCATTTCAGTCTTCCTCCTCCTCCTCCTCGGAACATACTTCTGACAGCTAGCCACTACTTTTATTTTTCTAAGAATGCCTTCAGGGGCCAAAAACATTATTGGAAATAAAATTATGCTTGAAGCTGGCACTTTGCAGCATGTGGGCTTCCTGGTTATTTATATTTAATGCAAAGAGCCTCAATATAAATAAAATCAGATGGGATGTGGGACTTGGCAATTTCCAAAACAAGTATCCCAGCTTCTTTGGTACTATAGATACACTTCTGGGGATTCATTTTGGTAGGAATGCATCTATTGTTATGGATTACTGTGCCATATCCACACAGAGGCAGTTCCACAAACTTAAGTTAATTAAAAAAAATAGTATTAGCATATTGTTATGAAGAGTATACTTTTTTTTTTTTTTGCAAACAGAATCAGCTTTACACAGTGGTGGGTTTCAAAAATTTTTCAAACCTACTCTGTGGGTGTGGCCTCCTTTGTGGGAGTGGCTTGCNCTGCAGTACTGCATTCTAACCACTGCGCCACCTCGGCTCTTAGACACGTAGCTATGTCGGGAGGTTTCCTGTTAACAACTTAATCCAGAATCTGTGTCGGCTAAGCCCCCAAATATTTTTTTTTGGCAAAGTGCTTTGAAGCAGGTGTTTCTCATTAGTTTTTTTTCCTGTATGCAGAACTTTTTAAAGTCAATTTCCAGAAAAACACATATGGAGCATGAATGCTCACTTTTACACATAATGCAGAAAAAGATATCAACACAGACAATATAACATCTTCCTCAGCTTCTCCCACCTGTGCTCTGAATTGAGTAAGACTATGTATATACTGGCATACAAAAAAAATTGAAAATAAAGGTTCAGAACTTAGAAATTGGTAGGTGGTATCAAAGCTTGATAATTGTTATGTTATGTGTTATTTATTTTATTTTCTTGGAACACTTGACCCTTAGCATCACGTTTTCACTAAAGTAGTTGTTTTTTCTGTTTTCATATGAACATATCATGACTTTTGCTAAGTTTGAACATTAACGATTTGATACACTGAAGAAAGTAGAAACTAAGCTCATTAGGTGCTATTAAAAAAAACCCTTTAATATGAAGTAATTGTTTGCTTTGAAACACCCACTCTGATTTTCAGTGATCACTCCAAGTGGGGACTGAGAAACAGTGTATTGTTCAGTCTGTAACAAAACACAGACCCCATATAATATCTTACATAAAGTGTGATTATTTGACAATTGACCCAGAGTTTGCATCCTGGAAACTGGGCATGGCTAGTCTAGTGAAAAGAAAGACCAGGGGAGACATGATAGCAGTGTGCCAAAATTTGAGGGGCTGCTACAGAGAGGAGGGGGTCAAGTTATTTTCTGAAACACCCAAAGGCCAGACAAAGAATAATGGATGGAAACTGATCAAGGAGAGATTCAACCTAGAAATAAGGAGAACAATCAACAAATGGAACAGCTTGTTTTCAGAAGTTGTGGGAGCTTCATCACTGGAGGACTGCATTGGGCTGCCATTTATCAGAAATGGTGCAGGGTCTCCTGCTTGTGTGTGGGGTTTGACTAGATCTGATGTGGGTTGCCCCCACTTTGGCTGAAGTGATATTGGAATTGAGGCCTGGGTCGCACAATTGGCAGTGACCCAGACTCACCCCCCCCCCCCGAACGAGTTCCCCGATCTCTTATGCCATTGCTGGCATGTTTATGCGCATGTGCAGAACAATATTTAGTGAACTGCACATGCACCAGCAACATGTGGCCACTGAACTGGTACTGACCAGTATAGAAATCCACCCCTGGACTAGATGACCTACAAGGTCCCTTCCAACTTTGTTGATCTGTTAATCTGTTAAATATATGAAACTGTTTCCACCCCAAAGTCTATTCTGGAGGTTGATTCTTGAGGTTCTTTTTATATTTTCTCCATATTTTGGAGAAAATCATGGGGGTGAAAGAGATTTTTCACTACAGGATCAAACCATTTTCCCAAGCTGGACAAGACATCCCACTATTGATTCAATGTATGATACCGAATTTTGATACTACTGGAATAGATTGCAGTGATTATTTTCAGCAGAATTTTGCACACTAGTGGGGTCATAGATAGTCATTCCTTAATAGCAATAGCAATAGCAGTAGACTTATATACCNAAAAGCCTAGAGTTTGATTTTTGTTAGGGCTTTGGATGGAAAGATTGATTTGTCTCCAGCCTTTCCTTCCTGCTCTGTCTGAATAAGCAGGAAAAATGTGAAATTTG